GCGTAGTTTTTTGCAGTTTCGCTCGATGCAATTTGTTGATGTATCTTGTAAAATTCTTGGACATGGTGCCAAGTGCCCCGATGACAATGGGTATGACTATTACAGGCTTCATCCATTGCCGTGTAGTTTTGATGGCCAGGCGGATATTTCATTATTTTTTCTAGTTCTTTTTCTTCGACTCTGGCATCTCCAGGAACAGCGATATCAATAAACTGTACACTTCGGCCCTCTACAATCGTGATATCTGGTGGTTTGTGCTCCAAATGATGATCCATTTGTATTTGAAAGTCCCACAAGATCTTCACCTTCTCATTTTCAATTAACTTTTTCCACTTTATGTTCCCATGACTTTCTGGATACAGGTAAATCATATTATTATTTATTACTTTTTTTTAGTTTTTGTTATGTTTATCCCAAGCTCAGTTATTGATGACTTCCAATTACCTCCATTGAAAATTGGTTCTAAGCTTCTACTATTATTCATTTGAAGTAATACTTTCTAACATTACTTTAAAGAAGAGATATTAAATCTAATAATAATGCCATCAATAGACAGTATGGTAATTATTTCTAACTACTCTTGAAAAATGGGTCACTGTCTGCATAGTTTATTTCCTTTCCTTTGAAGCAAAGAATTTATATTCTTTGACATGTCCATCATACCATAGTTAAAGTGTCCTTACTGATCTCACATGAAACTGGCAATCATGTACCAGCTACCAGACTGTTGCCCCTAAAGCATCCCTTTACTAGCATACTAAATGGCAAATCTCATTGAGCCAATGGGAACCTATTACTTGTATTGTACTCTTATATTTGTATACATGTGCATGTTCCCACGTAATGGCTGTAAAGATTTTCATAGCCAGATCAGTTAGCCTCATACAAATAATACTTAAGGGCTAGTAGCCTAAACTTTAGTTGCTTATTTCCTAGTCTTCTAATTCTGGCATTAGTCTACAAGTATAATGCTACATTATATCTTTGAACTCAGGGAAACCTATTCTTCATATATAAAACTATAGTATAGCCAATACCTGTAAAAAAAACTAGATTTATAAATTATGGAAAATGTATGTATATAGAACACAGATTCCAAACAACTCTCCTAGGCACTTGCTCTTCCAGTGCAAATAAAGAGAACTAATATATTATCTGGAGCTGGTTACCATCTGGTTACACTGTTATTTTTTGCCAACATACTGATTAAAAAGACTTAGTAGCCCCTTAAAAGATACAAGCTTTTGATGTAGAGTGGCTTCTTACATACATATGTTATTGTACTGTATATGAAAGGAAGTGTATTGGATACACTATTGCTAGATCTTTTTTTTTAATGTAGGAAACCAGGGGTTGTGACTTAAATGTCGCATGTACCAAAGCTTCGTTTCTAAAATTCTGCATCTTAATCTTTCAGCCTGAGCAAGTCACCAGAAAGCCAGGAAGGAACCATACTGATCAGAATGCTAGCCTTGAATTTGACACAGGTTCAAATCTAATTTAGCCCTACATTTCAGATAGTTAAATGTGCCACCAATCCTATGGTTTTAAGAACGAGAAGCCAGAAGATTAAAATGTTCATTTGAATTTCTCACATTACTTTCCACTGTATCCTGCATCAGTTATTTTTTTCTGTTTCCTTTCAAGTGGAGAGTGCAAAGAAAAACTCAAAATAATTTTAGCCTTTGGGTCATTTTTCAGCAGATGGTTTTACGGACTTGAAAGACAGGTATTACTATACTCTACAATAATTCTAATAACAAAGCATGCTTTTAGGGGTCCTCCATTGTGTGAGTGGCCTCCCTCCTCCCAAAACTCAGGCAGGATTTTTGTCCACCCTACTTCACAGATAAAATGTTTGGAAGAAATGTCCTTCTGGGTTCAGTTCCAAGTGGGGGAAAAGACACTGGAAAATTGGAGGCTGCTTGGACAGATGGTTTAATGGTGGACGGGACCACATAGTTTGAGGTCCTGGGGGAAAAGGTGATCACATGCTTCAAGATGTTGAGTGAAGAAGAAAAAGGGCTGAGATGCTAAAAGTTCCTGGTTTTATGCATTCTCTGGCCTTTGATCTTGATCTTCTATTCTGATTAGTTGTCAGACTCCCATGGGGCCATGTAGGAGCAACTCTGCAGGCTGTGTTTTGAGTCCATGTTTGGTTGAGCATTGCTTTTTCCCAGGTGCCATATGGTGAGATCGGTAGAGGGTTAATCCTACCTTTCTTATGAAGAGTAGCCTAGCTCATTCCTTAATGGCTCGTTCACAAAGATGGGGGCGGCTGTGTTTCTGCCTCTCTTGAGTTTCTACTTCTCTTTTTAGGGGAAATATTCTGCCTTTTTAATATTTCCTAAAATATTTCATTTCTCTAGGAGAGATGCGTGCTAACCTCCTACAAATGGATGAAGGAAATCATTAAAAGGGGGGGGGGTGTCAGAAAGACCTTAAGAGATCATCTAGGGCGAGTTTCTGCTCCAGGCAAAACACCCACCACTTCAGCAGCGAAAGCTTCTTCCAAAGAGCTTGAACAGGTGTGGGGAACAAGAAGAAAGGGGGGGGGGAGGCCCGCAATGCCTAATGCCAAACTGAGGACCAACGGTTTATTCTGCAGCTTAGAACGACTGGCGGACCAGCCCTACCTTTGAGCAAACAGACGGCCTGAATAAAGGAGCCCAAACCCAGAGTCGAGGCCTTGCCCGTCCTCTCCCTTCGGTGCCTGCTCGGCCTGCCTTCCATGTGCTCTGGGCGGCGGTAACAGCAGCCGAGCCACCGCCTCCGGGCGGAGCCCCAGCGAGGAGAGGGAGGGGGGACTGTATTCTTATACTCCACCGCCCTGTGCCGCGCAGCCTCCTCTATCTCTGCCGCACACGCGCCTGGAGCGGGGGAAGGGGAGGAGGAGGAGGCGGCCAATGCTGCTGCTGCTGCCGCCGCCGCCACAGCTGTAGCTCCGCCAGCCCGCTCGGGCAGACAGGAAAGCAGCCGCCTCAGCAGCATGGCGGGGCTGCGCTACCCGTCGCAGAGC